ATCAGCCCTAAAGCCAGGGGCAGCAGGGCCCAGGAAGGCGCTCAGGTTTCAGGGACTTGGGCTCTCGGGAACAGTGCCTGCCTGGGGTGGCCGCCGGGGCCTCTGCCGACCCCGCGAGAGCTGGACCCCGGCTGCTGCTGGCCTGCCTGGGGGGGCCCAGGCCGAGCGCTGGGGTCCGCCTGCTGAGCGGACTTGGCGCCTCGCGTGGGGACCGCCCTGTCGCCAGCCTCACGGGCCTCTCTCCCCGCAGGTTACGGGCAGGACTTGAGTGGCTTTGGACAGGGCTTCTCGGACCCCAGCCAGCAGCCCCCCTCTTACGGGGGCCCCTCGGTGCCAGGCTCGGGGGGCCCCCCCGCCAGCGGCAGGGGGCTTTGGACGGGGCCAGAACCACAACGTGCAGGGCTTCCACCCCTACCGACGCTAGGGGCGCCGCGGAGGGCGTCTCACGGCCGGGGCTGGAGCGTGGACTTGTGACAATCACAGACTGGCAGCGGGCAGCGACTCGGCGGGGGGGGGGGCGTTGGCGGGGGGGGGGGGGGGTGGGTTTTTAACTATATTTCTTTCTCTAACCCATCAGCACAATAAAAAAAAGTAACTAGTTCAACAACAGGGTTTAAAAAAATGTATTCAGCTTTAATTCAAACTTCAGGTTTCTTTTTCTTCCTTTTTTTTTTTTTTTTTGAAATTATTTTCCTGAGCCTTTTGTTTTACCGTATATTGTAAACTTTATGTTAAAGAAAAAATATACATTTACAAATTGTGAGATTTTTAAGAGAAGTTTTCTACGATGTACACTGCTTATTTTTAATTTAAACAGGGTTTCTGTCGGCACTGTGGGGGCGCTCCGTCCCCTCACTCTGGGCCCTGGGGCTGGGCCTTGGCCCAGGAACTCTGGGCGCTTCACGAAGAGATCTACTGAGCGTGTTTGTGTTCTGTTCCCTCCTTGCTTTTGTGGCCTGGCCTGTGGGACGGTGGCAGGGCCATGGGGGCCGCGCTGCAGCCCGCGACACGGACCCCGCCTGCCGGCTGCGCGGCAAGGGAGCCGCTCCCGCGGGGGGGTCTTGGC